GGGGGTAGGTCAATGAACATGTCTAGCTCTCCCTATTGCTTTTTAACATGAAAGTGAAATTTTAGGCCATGATTTCAAACACAATGAATACCAAAGTTGACACTGTTAGAAGGGGGGAAGGAGAGAGAATAATGCGGCTATATGGCATTTGTAGTGCCCAAGGGATTTTTATAGTAAAAATGCTGCAGTGAGAAGCGTGCTTTGGGTAACAGGATTCACATATATATCATGCTGTCCTGGCCCAAAGACTTTAGCAAAGTCATTAACAGTCCAGGGAATGAAATGAAGAGAGGTGCATACAGTTGAGTAGACAAAGTTTTTGACTCAGTTTAGTCCAAGGTTTGAGATGCAGAACATTCTTTACCTGAGTACAGTTGAGTAGACAAAGTGAAAACCATTCCCTGATCCAAACCTGTTCAGGGTTCCCAGAAGATATAAACAGAGAAATCGGGGGGATGGGGGTGGCGTTGTCACAAAAATTGTCCCAGTGCCTGAGTCTTACCTTTGTTTCTAGGACCCAGGTTCTTAAAATCGGGTCTGCCTTCCTATTCTTCCAATTATGCAAGGCACATTAATAAATGTAAAACTATTTCAGATGATCCTTTCTAAAAAGGAAGATTAGATAAAAAACAAACTTACCTCCAGTGATGTATTTTGAATTGATTTAAGTCTACTTTATTCCTATTTTAAAGTTATCCTATATTGGAAAAAAAATGTCTTCCTTTCCAGGAAATATCAGTATAAATATATAAACCCCTATGCAACCCCTTTTTTCAATGGGGATCTAATACAGTTTGTTTAGCTTTTATCCTATTTTTCTCACATCTATAACATTGTTTCTCTTTGAACAGGCAAGTCATTTTCTGTATATCAAAAAGGTGCACATTTCTTGATGGGATAATGGAAAGGCTATGTTGCTAAGTGATGATGTTGTATAGAGTTGTACAGAAGCAATGTAGACTTGGGTTTTTTAAAAACTGTGTTCTTGAGTATATTTCTAGCTTTTTTTTTTAAACCAATCAGTCTTCTCAGCGTCTCCCAGACAAATTCCGGACTCACGATCTGTTTGGTAGTGGGAAGGACTGGCCAGAGAACTCATGGAAGGCACTGGGTCGACGTCTCATCTTTGAGGGTTTTCTTAAAGAAGTTTCTGGTCAAAACAAGTTTTCAGTCATGTGCATGCTTACTGAGAAGGTAGGTTTGTTAATTAATTATAATTAGAGAATATGCTCAATCAAGTGATGATTTGGGGCATCAGCGTATTAAGTAATTTGTTTCACTCTCAGGGTAAAGATTGGCTCAATGAAGCAAGAAAATTGCCAGGGCAGAGTCTTTTACTTCAGTCTGATGAGGAACTATGTTTAAAGAAATCTACTGCAAGGTGATTATACCATCTGATTCTGAAGTTGCAATGCTTATTTTTATGAGTATTTCAAAGTTTCAAAACCTTAGTTTCTTTAAAACTACTCTCAGGTAGGTTTATATGTCCACTGGGGACAGTTGGGGTTGCCATTGATATAGAAAAGGAAGAATACATTTTCAGACCAACATGAGAAATATTGGTTCCTAAGGTGCAAAATATAATATCGCTTTCCTCTCCCTTAATATGTGCCCCAGACCATTATAAAGTAGTGCAAGAACATTTCTGCTAGTGCATGCACTTCAAACCATACTTTCAGTCTGTGTGGGAGATCTGTCTGTTTCTCACCAGCCAATATTTCTGGATTCTACAACTCCCAGAATCCCTTGCCAGCCATAGTGATGCATCTTGTGCTTTCAAATCTCTGGATATTTAGGACTGAATGTTTTTCCAAGGCTGATAGTTCAAAGTTAGCTTTTATTTGTAAATACTATGATAAAACTTTAGGCAGTGTAAGTAGTTGCTACCATCTTTAACATTTTGAGCCTTACAGAGTGTGTGAAAGTAATACATTTTGAACCCACAGCTTTTTTGCCTGTGTGTTTGCAAGTATATGTAGAATGGTTTGATTGGAACCATCTCTTTCCCTGTTTTGAGCTCAAAATGGCCTGTGTTTTGAGCCTTGAACTTGTTTCCAAGTGGCTTGAAATAGTATGCTTCAAATTCAGAATGGTTTGAATCAGAATGCTTTGCACAGCACTAGTGTTTACTGTGGGACTGGTTTTTGCTTTCAGGGTGGCTAAATTCCCTTCTCTTCCTCTTTCCAGCTATAAGCAAACTTCTGTAGAGGCAGGACGTTTCTCCAGTGCTGGGTTACCTCAGTCGACACCCAGGAAACAGGTCTGTGTTACCAAAAATACATCTTCTTTTCTGGTAACCTAGGTTTTGTCTCTTTGTCAGAGGCAGTAAGAGAATGAATATCATAGATTATACATAACAGACCTGCCAGCTCTCATGAACAGAGGAGTTATCATTAGACAAGTTCTATATAGAAACAAAATTGCTGAATTTAGAAATGGTTGAAAGCAGCTTTTCTGAAGTTGTTTTCTTGTCAGCTGCATATATCCTGTTCCAGCTGGAGGAAAAAAATCTAACACCATAAATTAATCAGTTGAAATCAGTATTCTTATGTGTTTGAGATGAAATGTGCCTGGTATATAGATGATCATTTTATTAATCAGATGAATCTGTCATATCTGTTAATTGTTAGTTAAAATTGATGCTATCTAGTAAAATGAGCCATAGTTCTCTAAGAGACTATTGAAAGAAGAAATGTTAACTGTGAGAAAAGACGGTAAATGGCAAATTACTTTTGAGCTCCTTTGCCTTTGGAGAACAATTTTTCACTATAAAATCAGTAGTGAGCATGAAAAAAAAAATCCAGAATTCTTGAAAGCAATATATATATGAATGAAAGAAACTTGTATGGCTGCCCATACAGGTAGTCCTCGCTTAACAACCGTTTGTTTAATGACAGTTTAAAGTTATGACGGCCTTGGAAAAAGTGCTTTATGACCTGTACTCGCACTTATGACTGTTGCAAACTGTTGCACCACCTCCCATGGTCACGTGATCCCAATTTGCAACCTTTTTATGATGGTTGTTAAGCTAATCACATGATCATTAAGCAAATTCTGGCAAAAGAGTCCATGGGGAAGCTGGATTCGCTTAATGACCATGTGATTCGCTTAATGACTGCAGTGATTTGCTTTATGACTGCTTTATGTAAAAATGGTCGTAAAATCAGGTTCAGTCATGTGGTGACTCACTTAATGACCATCCTGCTTAAAAACAAATTTTCCAGTCCCTATTGTGGTCATTAAGCGAGGACTATCTGTATATTGTAGCTCTGGGCAGCTCACAGCAAACAACAATAAGAACATATAAGAAATAATTAAAAAGCAGTATCCAAAAAACAGCGACCAGCACTCTAAACCCATAGTCTCCAATCACTGGGCTTCAGCCTCACCCAGTCCCAATGCTTGGGGAAAGAGCCAGCTTTTTAAGGCCTTCCAGAAGGCTAGAAGAATGGAGGCCTGCTGGATTTCGGGGAAGGCTCTTCCACAGGGCAGGGGCTGCTAGTGAGAAAGCCAACTGAAATTGTACAAAATCCAGTTGGTCTAATAAAAGTATTGTCTTTGTAAATGTTTGTCTCTGTTTCCTCAATAAAAGGGGTAAAAAATAGGTAACATGTTGAAATAAGAATTTGACACTCAGAAATTTAAACAGGTTAGGTTCTGAAATGATTCTGGCTTTCATTCCCATCCAAGAAAGAGCTGGGAATATGCTCTTGACTTCTTGGATAAGCAATTTTTTTTTTCTTGACCTAAGCAGTGTATGGATATGGATGTGAAGACAATAGAGTTCCATCTAACCAGAATTTGATAATATGAATTATAATGAGTTACTTGTCCTTATTAAAGAGAAGCCCTTATCAAGGACAAACAAACTCTCCATTGCAGTTGAAACTGAAGTGGGAGTTGTGAGAAGGATCTATAGATACCTGAGGCTGCTTCCTCCTTTCTGTATTTTGCCTCAGTTGATGTTAGCAGTGACTGCATTGGCATGTTTTGCTAAGCTGTAACATGACTAGTTTCATATTATCATATTTAGTTTGGTATTATCTTGATATTTTCCCACTCTTCAGAGTTGATGCTTCCTGATATTGAGACCTAAGCAAACTGTGGTGGTATGATTTAACTTAATCCTTGTTATTAAATTACTGACAATGTTTTATATTTTAAGAACTTTTGTATTAAATATATCCAAAGGATATTCTAAGATGCATATTCATTTTCTCTCTTTTTTATTTTATGTTACTGAAGAAGACATCTCTGCATGAAATGTTTTCCTATTCAGAAGTTAGTAAGACCTCCAGCTGGAGTAGCCTTTCAGATAAAAGGTGATATTTCTGAAAGTAATCTTAGTTTTTCTCTTTCTCTTTCTCTTTCTCTTTCTCTTTCTCTTTGTGTCTCTTCATATTAATGTTTGTTGAGAATGTTGGTTGGGCAGCAGTTGTTTGTGGAACTAGTTGGAGTACTTGTTATAGGATGTACTGTATTTGCTGGCGCTACTGCCACCAATTTAAATTTAGGAATTGTTTTTTCATTGATAATCTTCAAAATGTGGTAATTTTCCCAGAGAAATGAACCATGTAGGTGCCTTGTGGAAAGACTAATAGCACAGTCTATTCCTCCAGCTTGTGCCATAGGCAAGTCTTTCATGGTTGACCCAATAGTACATCACAGGGCTTTTGGTTCCTTCATTCATTGACCACTTCTAGGAGAGTGCAAGCTTTTGTGTGCTCTTATTTGTCAGCTACTACATATATTGTCTGAATTGAAATTTTAACTGTTTTTCTTTCAATAGTAGTGCCACTGTGCCATTGTCACTGCTTTGTGTCCCTCTGAGTGCTACAGAAACTGTTATATCTGAAAGGGAGAAGGAATTACAGGTTAGTATACCAAGTTTGGTGACTAGAATCATATGAGAACCAGGTTTCTCACATGATTAGAGAAGACCTAATGAATTCTGATTTAGTTTTAACCAACAATGAAAGCTGCATCATACCCATGGGCATCTGTGGGCCCCTGCTTCTTTTGTCAAAAGCATCATGCCAAAAGCATCATCACACTGTTGTGCTGTGAATTCTGCTGCTTTGGGAGATGCATGTGATATCATGAAACACGTATAAAAGGGCATGGCTGACAGTATGATGCTGCTTTCATCAGGCTGACCTGTTTGATTCCCTCAGGCTGGCATCTGAGTAAAACTCATTAGTTCAGAAGAAGAGAGAATAATGTTACTGATTTTGGATGATGTACCCACATCTAAGAAAGCCAATTTGGTGTAGTGGTTAAAGGCACTAGGCTAGAAACTCTGAGACTGTGAGTTCTAGTCCCACTTTGAAGCATGAAGCCATCTGGTTGACCTTGGGCCAGGGACTCCCTCTTAGCCCTAGGAAGAAGACAATGGCAAATTGCTTCTGACAATGTTGCCAAGAAAACTGCAGGGACTTGTCCAGGCAGTTGCCAAGAGGCAAGACTAACTCAGAGGCACAAAACCCACATCTAAAAATGCCATCCTAGAAGAGACATTCCATTCTGGAATGGAGTGCCATTAGAGTAGTGCCACTCTCTAATAAAGTGCCTACTTCTTGTTGCTTGTTTATATTTGCATCCTTTTTTAAAAGTTGGCATCCTTTAAACTCAAGCAGCAAGTTTGTTTATTGATATTCTTTAAAAGAATGTTGCCTTCCATCTCAGTGCAATAATTTGTAAACATTTTTTGTGTGTTTGTTTTAGACGGTACTATATGGCAAGTTAGTGGCAGCCAGGCAGAAACTTGCTAGTGAAAAAGACATCCCTCCTGCTGTACTTGCAACAAATAAAGTGCTGGTTGATATGACTGTGACAAGGTATGAATTTCCATTTAAATGAATGAATGAACACCATTTAGATACTTGTTGGAGAACAAGCTGTGACCCATTCACCTACATACCCCTGTATATGCTTGAATTCTCCCTAAAATAATCACAGTGTTATGTGTGTAACCTTGGAGTGTATTTGCTAGCCTATTTAGGTTTTAATTTCTGTTTTCAGTTTCTTCAGTAAGTACTTCCATATTGTCCTGAGCCTTCTGTTTTTCTTAAGTCTTTTTATCTTCATGTATAAACTCAAAGTAATCAAGTCACAGAATGTCTGTTACATTTTCTTCAGGCCTACAACTGTGGTAATTATGAAGAGGATTGATGGCATTTCTGAAGCGAAATCTACTATGTTGGCTCCTCTTCTAACCATAATCAAGGAATTCTGTCAGACAAATAATTTACAGGTCAGATGTCATTAAATTTAATTAAACAATTAAAAAATTGTTAAGCTTTAAGAAGATGATACAATGTCAAGTTTGGCAGCAAGCTATCATTACTACAATAATTTCTTGATAGCCACACCTGGTCTTGAAGTTACAGCTGCTGCGGCGCCCCTGCGGTCATGTGAACAAAATTTGGATGTTTGGCAGCTCACCCGCATTTAGGAATGCAGAGTGTACTTCAGGTTCTCCCCATCCACCTATCTGCCCTTTTGACCACCTGCGCTCTGCCAGCCCTTTTGCCCTGCGCTCCGCCAGCCCTGCCGCCCCCAGCTGAGCTTTGCTGTCTTCTTCTTCCTACTGCTGATGAGGTGTACCTGGTCTGGCCCTTCGCAAGTGCAGCCAAGCCGGGCTTGCTGCTGCCAGGGGTGGGAGAGCACACAAGCCACCCTGCGCTCTGCCGCCCCCGCTGCCCCCAACTCACCACCATCTACTTCCTCCTGCTGCTCGGGAAGAAGGCCTCGTGCGGGGTTAGGCCAGGCATGCCTCATCAGGGCATGCTTGTGCGCCCTCCTGCCCTGGCAACAGCCTACACCTGTTCCAAATGTGCTTGTGCCGGGCAGTGGCAGCCACATACCTGCCCACCAACCTCCTTGCGTGCTGCCTGGAACTCGTGATTTCCTGCCATCTTCCCCATTGACTTTGCTTGTTGAAAGTTGGCAGGAACTCATGAGGAGGTCCTTGCTTAAAGATCCAAGATTGTTGCTTAACAATGGCAATGGGGACTGCCAGGATTGCCATCACTAAGCTATGTGGTCATGTGATGTCATGCTTTACAGCCGCATTGCTTAACAACATAAATTCCAGTCCCAATTACTGTTGTTAACTGAGGACTTGTCAGAACCACGATGTTCAAATACCAATGAAGAACAATCTCTTGAACTTGTAATAAGTTCAAAAAGAAGTTCATTTATTGAGATGTACACACAGCTTCAAAGCATTGCTGAAACTAAAAGCCCGCGCTTTTTCACTCTATTTTTACCCTCTTGTTTACCCCCCCCCTTCCCCTCAGCCTGTACTGGGTTCTCATGTTGGTGTGACCTTGTGCATTCCTCGCTCTCGATAACAGTCCATTTGGGTTAACGGTCTCACCTTCCTTGCTCCCCCTCCCCCCTCCTAAACAAATGGCAGAAACAAAGCAAGCAACTAATGTGCCGATAGATTGATTGCTGGAGGTTCTGACAGGACTACCTGTACTAAGAAGCCCTTCACCATAGCCAATCAATCTAGACTCAATAGATAAGAATATTTGATGATTCTTTCTTTGCGGCTGTTTTTTTAATGGCAAGACTAAGTATAATGTTTGAATCAAGTTCTCTTACTAAAAACAGAAAAATCCATCAGTTTCTTCCATAATTGATTTCTTTTTAAAAAATATTTTAGTGGACTAATAAAATGCCAAGAGAAAAACTAAAATTCTGTTTTAGAAAGGAGGGGTAAAAATCAAAGAAAAAAAATAATAAAAAAGGAAATTTCATCAAGAACATAATCAAATAAAAATTGGGGCGGGGGAAGGATGGAAAGAACATAAATATGGGGGTTTACACATGTGCCTATTCATTCCCTTTCTGGGATTCCCTACATCCAAATCTGGATCTTCAGCCCAAGGACAATTTTTTTTTAAAGTAATGTTTTGTATTGAGCCAGCCTGTATATCAATTGGGAAAACACAGGCTATGTCTCATTGCACTGGTGTAATTTGATACCACTCTGTAAAGGAAATACATTGGGGCAACTCTGCAGGAATGCTGGCACGTTTGCATTACCAGCATAGAAGTTAAGACATAGACTGAATGAAATTGGGAGGAACAGAATGCTCTGCATATAATACTTGCTCAGAGGCTGATCTCACTCCTGATAGTGATTTTGTGGCAGCCACAGAAATGGTTAATAATAAAAATGCTACCCCATCTCCTCTTCCTCTCATGTTACCATGACAGAGCAGAGTACACAGACTATCCCGGTCCAGTACATCATGCTTACACTGATAGATATAAATCCTTGAAAATCATGAGACAGGGCTATAATACTTTGGCCTTCTATTATGCAAATTTAGAGGGTGCATGGGGGAAGTTTGGTAATGAGAATTATTAGCTTTTGCTAGGACTGTGCTGGCTGAATGGGAAACATTCATAAGGAATCTCCCCATTGCAGTAAATGGATTAGATCCTGTAACTCAGGAATGTCATTGCCATTTGACCAATGATTTGTTGCCAACCATTGTCATAGAGAGTGCAGGTGTGATTGTCATTGTTCAGTGCTTTTCAGAGTGCTGTATTTTCCATTTCCTACTTTGTGCTATATGAATGTAGGATATAAATTAAATTATATGTATGTTGTAGTGACTTTTGTCACCTTCCACCATGACAGGACCTTAAAACTGCTTTATCTGAGTATCATGAGACATTAACAGCACCCTTTTTTCTTGAAGAGAGGAGGGAAAAAAAATAAACATATAAATATAACTAATGCAGACTATAACAAGCATGGTAGTTTTAAAAGTTTGTGATGTCCTAGCCACCAGTTTAGCTTATCTGTAAAATGTTGATCAATTGCGTCCTTCTAGGAGCGTGCACAAATTCTGCTGAGGTGGGCTGAGGTCTGGAACAATTAAAATCCAAAGCACTTTGATTGTTCTGGGATTTGGCTAAAAATAACCTGGAGAGACCCTCCTGTATCTGGTGCCCCTTACCCTTTTCTCCTCTTCTTTGTGCACTGGCCCACCTATTAATCTTCCCAGTATTTTCCTTTCCTGACTTCCTCCTAGCTATTGTCAGTGTCTTTGGCTCCAAACATGGCACATGCAACCATTTTGCCAGGGTCTCCTTTTTCAGTTTTCCTTTAGGAAAGATTAGGAGCTGGTGTACTGTTGGATATACCATGCTTGAAGCTGAGGGTATCATTGGTGGCTAAGGGATATAGAGAAGTGAAGATTTTGGAAGTTTGAGGGAGATGATTTTTTCCCACCTTCCCCTCCCAACGCATCTCTGCCTGGAACATGTGTGTTGAAGTCTATGCCCAGATCAAATACAGATGTTTTGGTCCAGATATAGACAACCTGGAACCAGCTGTTCAGTACAAGGAATGTTTCACATATCCCTCCTTCCTTCCTAGTGTTGTTTAGTCCTTTGTTTAGCGCTGTTCTTCAGTGTTTAGATTTTTTAAAAAAATTCTTTGATACTGTGCAGACAGATATCTTCAAGAATTCTGAAATGAGAGATCAGCCAGATACAGTCCTTCAAGTGGACAACGGGAATAACACCCTTACAGAATCAGAACATAAAACTTACACATTGTTTCAAGATAATAATACGTCCATGGTAAGCTTTTTAACTTCTCTTTATGTGCCATTGCCGCACTTCTTTAGTGGGTTGCAGTCTATAAAAGTAATTTAAAGGAATAAAAAAAACTGACCACTGCTTATGTGTTGCATCTTATTAACTCACAGTGGTCTGTATTGAAATTTATTTTGAATTGTGCTTACTTTACTGTTTCAAGGCAGAACCATGAGCTAAATGAAGTTCTACTAAGCTATAGAAGAGGACCATTTTCTGCTAATGGCTGTGTTCTGTAGGAGTCAACATATGAGGAGTCATAGATGGGACTACTTCCTTTTGTTTTTCATTCTCTTTTCTTTTTTCTTCTTTTTTCTCATCTGGTAGAATGGATTCCAGTGGAGGGATACAGAACTGAATGGATGACTTGTGAATAATAATAATAGTAGCGGTAGTAATAATAATAACAGCAACAGCAACAATAATTTATTGAACTTGTATGCTGCCCAACTCTCAATGAGTCTGGATGGTTCACAACAATCAAACAAAGAAATTACAATCAGATCAATAAAACATAAAAGATGGCAAACACAATGAAGCAAGGGGTATCACTCTCCCTCATCAAAGGCCTGGGTGAAGAGCCAGTGTCTTGGTCGAAGCGTCTTGCTTCTGTCCTTCTGCCATTCTTTCCTCTGGCTTTCTCCCTTTCCTCTTCCCTAACTTGTTCTATGCTTGTAGAAGAATTTTGCCCCATCTGCTACTCGGTGCAGTTTGAGGTGTCCCCCTAAGCCCCTCCCTCATCTATATTACCTTAGTCAGAGGGCCACATGGATCCCTTAGGCTTCAGGTTGCCCATGTCTAAGATAAGCATTTTTTCTGAAAGAATTTCTTCTGTGTTTCTACTACAGTTTGGGAGACCTGGACAAGGTGCTGAAATATTTAATCTCTCCCATCCACCTGGCTTAGATAAGAACACCTACATAGCATTCCTCAACACGGAATTGGGTTTCATGTAATTTTGCATCTTTGTCCTTTGTTACTTCAAAATATCCAGAATTCTGTGATGGGCAGAAATTAATTTTTCTTATGTATTGAATCTCTATGGGAAAAACATGTGATACTGCCATGGAACATGAAGCCTTAGTTCATAATCAAGGTAGTAGCCCTGAAGTGCACTATTTAACATAACCCTTGAGTAACTAACTATAAAAACAACAATCTTAGAGGCTAACAGCTTTATTGTACCATAAGCATCAGGGTCCACAAATGTATCTTACGAAGTAAGCAATAATCCATGAAAGATGCCACTGTGTATTTAATAGGAGTTTTTAAGAATTTATTCCGCCCCCCCCTTGATATCTTCAACAGTTGCATGTATAATATTAGCTAGTCAGCAATTGGGTAATTAATATAATGACCTCATAATGCTATGTAGTCAATCAGATTTGGTTATATAGTGGTTTCATTGAAGCTAAGTTATTTAAATGCTTCTAGTATCAATATTATCTTCAGTCTAATTAAATGAAAACTTTTGCTCTTTTCCAGAGCAGCTGTCTAAAAATTGCCTAGAGAGGGACATATTTCAGCATTGCCAAATGTTTTTTTATTAAAAAATACCCACACTTTTTGGCAGATCTCAATTTTTTAAAAAAGCGATTATAACAAATTGCTTCTGTATATTAATGCTGGGTTTGTTTCTTAGCTCCCTGCTCCCAGGAGCATGCCAAGTTAGATAGCCAACAAATTTTAAAATACCCAAGGACTAATTAACAAGGAGCAATAATACAATTAGGACTTGGTAATTTGATGCCCTGTATCAAATGACTGTTGATTATAATGTGCACTCTTGTGTCTGTTGTCTGAAAGTCAGCAAACATAATAGGCAGCCATCATCTGTATGTGAAGAAAATAATTGGCAAAGTGTACATAGATTATATATTAAAAAGCCACTTGATATGGTTAGCATAGTAGAGTAAAAGTTTTCCCCATTCATAAAGGGAACACTTTTATCTGTTTGCTAATATTAACAATGTCACTCCGTAGCTCTATAGAATGACAAAAATACCTGTCTACTTTCCTGCATTCACAGGACCACTTGTAATAGGTTTAGCTTTGATTGTTTCTCTAATTGTTTAACAAATGGACTTATTGCAGTAGTAGCACAACCTAAATGGCTTCTAAAATAAGTACACCTTTGATTTATGGATACATTGATTAAAATGAGCTTTAACACAGAGACCCAAGAAAACATAAGGCAGACAATCATACCACAGATCAGAAGAACAC